AACGCGCCAATAAAATTCCATGTAAAAATGATCGAAAATCGTATTTGCAAAAAGTAATGTTAACGAGGTAATATTGAGTTGAAAAAAAAAAACAAAATGTTCCTTATGGAAAGACTTAATTTTTGTTAATAAAAAAGCTTTTTTTAAACTTTTTTCGAGAACAAGCATATACGTGTATGTTGAAATGTACATAAATATTGCTAAGCAAAGAAGCTAAAGCATAAATAAGTGCTCTTATATTTATTTTTTCAAATTTTTTTTCTAACAATTTTATTACTCGTACGCCTGCATTCATTAGTGGTTGGGATTTTCCCAACTCATTGACGCTACTTTGTGTTGAGTTGATTTGTTTGTTGTCTATTTGCACATGGTTTTGTTTGTGTATTGAATTCAAGTTTGCAGACATTGTTCACTGGTCGCTGGTATTACTCATACGCCTAGCTCTATTTTGTGTTTTTCTTGTTAGACGTATTGTAGGCTGCGCAAGAGTTGACTGAAATCATAGCCGGCAAATTAGAAAATACTGGGAACAAGTACATATGTACTCCACATATGCATGTTATTTGATATGTGTTTATGTATAATATTAATTATTTAATTTTAATTGGATTAACACCAAAGTGAGAATATAACACAAGTAAGTAGTTGCATTTTTTACGTGACTTATTTGACCGGAAATGGATTCAGTAGAGATCGATATGATAGTAGTCGAGTTTTTCGAGTTTTCAGCACAGAAAAAAAAGTGGGCGAAAATCATAGACACATCCATTTTATTTTTTACTGCCCGTTCCTCTCCTCCTGACTAATTATCGCACGAATTTTATGTTGACCAAGGTTTTTTTCTCTCTCTAGTAAACAATCCTTCCTAAAAATACAACTGTGGCGTTTCAGTAAAGGAAAGTACAACATTTATCTAAAAGAAATTTTTTTTTAGATCAGTTTCAGTTGCACTAAGTGGGAAGAATATAAATTTGAAATTGAAACAAAAGTAAGATTTTTAATATCAAATTTCTGCAAGTTAATCTAAACCATCTGCAAGTTAGATAGATAGAAAGATGAGTAGGAAGGATATGCACCGCCACAACGACTTCTTCACATCATTTCGTACAGTCCTAGCGACCTTATAGAACCAAACTGGCCTCCTCCTAGATGTTTCAGTCTACTTTCAGCGTGAATTCCGCGCTCAAACAGTATGGGCACTTGTGTTTCTCGTAATAGCCCATTAGAGCGGCAAGTCACATCAGAGCTGATTTCGAGCCTACGCTTATGGTTACGCAGTCTGCAGTATCCTGTAAGAAACCCTGTTAGTATTCTCAAGTTATTCTTACTAAGTATAATTATGTCTTAAACTCTTACGGTATTGCAGTCAACTCAATCCATTAAATCCAAGTGAATCGAATCATATTGTAGTTTTGTGTCTTGATGTGTTCCCAACAAATGGAGAGACACACAGTTTATACTAAGCACCCTCCGAACGGCTGACGGTTTTTGGATGAGGAGCCTTTATTTCATGTCCGAAATACACTCGGAGTGGTGGACATTCCCTGCCGAGGGGCGACCGCAATTGGAAAATTTAACTTAATTTTCTATTTAAGTTAGTTTTACATAACTTTTGCATGTTTGTGGCACCGGGATATAAACCCGAGCCTTCCGAAAGGCAGTATGCAATGCAGGCTACCGCGGCCGCCGTTACGACTTTTTCGTATAAATTAGATTTTGGTCTAGCGCATACCTTAGACAAAATATGATGCCATCTATCGGGTTAATGAATGGACCAACAAGCAAATCTGATCTGTGGCCCTTGGTATACTTCCAATAAATGTGCTCTAAATATTTATAACTTAATCGAATAATAATTAAGATTTTTTAGAGCTGAAAAGCTCCAGGTCCACTTCCCAAAAGAGGCAGCGATATTTGTGTTAAACTAAGCGTAATGCTGCCAACTCATGTAATAAATTTGAAAAAAATTCAAACCAAAAATACGACTCTTTCGAAATGGGTGGTCCCTCAAACACTTCGCGGATTGGTCGATCGTATTGCCCCTGCTGCCGGAGTTCAATCCGATTTGAAGCGAAACATCGAAATCAATCTAGACGTTCTTGAGTTGAAAGCATTTTAACTAACACCATTCCCTTTTTATATATGTATGTATATAGATTTTCTTAAAATATAAGAAAAAAAATATTCTCATATAAATACAAGTAGTATTCTGAGAGAGCCTAAAATGAACAACATAAATAAAAGTGAAATAAGAAGGTATTTATAAATGATATATTATTTGACGGTAAATGCATACTTGTTACAAATGAAGTGTAAAAATTAAAATTATTTGCTTTATTTTCAATTAAAATTAACGATGTTTAGTAGTATGTATGTCAATAAACAAGTTAAAGAGCGATTTTTTTCTAATTCATCTTGCTTTAAGTGAGTAAAAGTGGAAAAACTCAAGCAAAAAAAAAAATACAAAAAAAAAAAATTATAAAAAAAATAACAATTTTTAACATGTGTCAATTAAATGTCTTCTTCTCTATTAATTTTATTAATCTACATAAAATTTGTTATTCTGCATTAAGTTTTATATTCGGCGTATTTTTTATTCCCATTATATTTTATTCACCATTTAATTTGGTATTCTGTGTTAAATTTTTTTTCTGTATTTAATTTTCCATTTGATATTTAAGTTATAACTAAGAAAGAAATTCCTCATTTCATTCAGCGTAATTTAGGTAATATTAAAAAATTTATAACTTAAAAATTTCTGCATTTTTACGTATATAATAAAAAATCTTTCCGAAAGTTTTAATGCAAATCGAAGTTTGAAAGCAAAAAAAAAACTGTTTTAAAATAGTATTTTTTCAAATTTCGAAAGGTTTTTGATGACTGTGATTTTATGAAGAAAGAGCAGGAAAATTGGAACTTCAAAACAATACATAAAATAAAGTTTACGTAATAAGTGAAATTTAACGAAAACAGGCTTTTTAGTTGGGAGCTTTTACTTGTAATTCGAGTTATAATTTTGTGCTTTCGAAACAGGTAGCTTTATAAAGTAATTAGCGTACCACTGAACTCTGTCCCGTTGGTAGTGAAAGTGATCTTATCGAGTACCGGCCAAAACATTGCGACGCCGTCGTAAATGATGGATCTGACTACCGCTCTATATTTATTATCGTTGAAAAATTACAGTCTTAGGTCGCTTAGCTTTAATAGCTTTCCATGTTCCTGCTTAAGTGGTCTCCGCGACATTTGCGTATTAAAAAAAAAGTATAATGACAATCGGTATAAAGTTCTATTTTTTTTAAATAATAAATATCTAGTTTAAGGTTGAGCGAAATTAAGTCTCTTGGTAATTTTAAAACTCTAGAAATATTAAGCTAATTGAGCATATGCTGTCATACAAACTATGTGCAGTTTCATGGAGATATAGAGATAGTAATCTGAAGCTGCTAGACCAGGCGAATGCCCGGATCGAGCGAGTCGAGCAGTGCCTGTGTGGCGTTGGCCGTGTGTGGTCTGGCATTGTAGTGCCACATGCAGACTCCTTTCGTCAGCATGACTCTCCTCTTGTTCTGAATACATCTTCACGATTTTTTTTAGTGTCTCCAACGTAGAATTTGCTTTCCAAACGAGATAAAATTGACAGAGTTTCCGAAACATGTTGTGCTGGTAACAATTGTCAGCGCACCGATCCCGAACAGGGCACGATGCAAAAAATATAAGTCTGGCTGTGAGCGCCGTAGTACACTTACTTTCAGGATATGCCGCGTCTATAAAGATATATTTTTATGTTTTCACTTTAGATACATCGTCCATAAGTAATATCTTTCTATAGGAATGGGATTGAGATCTTGTAGTTATACTTTTACTTTTAATTCAAATATATGTAAAAAATCTTGTAAATATTTCTTATATGTGAATCTTGACTAAAGGGTTTCAATATCAATTGGCAAGAATATGATGGGTTTTACATTTTTAGATACAAATTGCTTTATTTATTTATATAGATGCGCAGTTCGGTGATTTATATTCCTAACAAAGAATATTTTGAGGCAAAAAAATTATATTATAAATTGTGCGTCAATTCGGTTTATCTTAAATTGCACACTGTTGTCCACTTTGATTTTGTGTTTAGTTTTGGCTTGGACACTTTCAATTTTCTTTATTGACATTTCAGATACTTACAGTATGTACGGTATGTACAGAAACAAGTAGAAATTATATACGAATACATGCATACACACACATTTGCAATTCTTATTGATTCAATTTCACTTAATTTTCCACATTTCAAAGAAATAAAGTCAACCAATATTTATTTTTGCACCTAACAGTAAAATTCATTCACATCTTAATTTAGTATTTTAAAAATAATTTACTTCTGTATGTATGTATGTATACGATTTATAATTGGGACTTACTTTCCTTAGAAATGAAATGTTGGTTACGTATGTTTTCATCAACGTAAGGCATAACCACAGTTTATTTATGGCAACTCTATATTTACGCAATTGTGAGTATACTCGTACACATATTTACATGTGTATGTGTGCTTGTTTCCATATACATACATAAATAAATACGTCTTCTAGTGAATGAATTAAACTTTTGCACGGCTTGTTTAAATTGAAAAAAAAAAAAATGAATGCAACTGAGCCATAAGCCATACGCCCATTGAGTGTACGTTACTGACAAACTTATATATGTACATATGGATATACGATTAGATAAATATGGATGTAGATAGATATGCCTATATCCAATTTTAACAGCATATCTTTTAAAAATTTAATATAAAATATATTTTAATTTAAAACTTTTCATGACATGATTTTTGATCGGCTTAAATTTCAATTTACAAAAAATATAAATTATCAATCCTGTAAAATAATATTATTTTTATTAATTAATTATATATTATATTAATTAATTAACAAACAATTTGGTTTTATTTTTTAACAAAAAATTGCAATTAATTCATTCATGCATTTGTTATCTCCTTCTAGGATGGGCTCCTTCAACTCTGCACCAAAAATCAACAATGTCGACTCGCAGGATGACAGCTTAGAGATACCAAAAGGCTTGAACGTCACCGAGTTGTTGAAACACGTGAAACATTTGCGCGGCATTGATCGACCACAATTGCTAACCAGATACTTTGTGAAGCCATCGTTGACTACTGATGTAACTGATGGATTACGTTCACTAAAATTGAGTGCAGTAGCCAAAGGTATGTACGAACCAAATAAAAGACAGTAAATTGAAAGGAAATAAAATAAAATGATTTTAAATTAATTAACCAAAATAAAACAAAATGAATATTTATAAAACCAGTTAACAAAAAAAAAAAACAAAAAAATAAAAATAGGAATTTAAAACCAAATGATATAAAATAGTAAAAATTAAAATCAAAAAATGTTAAATAAAAAAAATTAAAAATATTTATAAATTAAACTAAAAAAATTTTGAAATATAGTAATAAATAGATTTACAAAAATAAAAGTATGTATAGAAAAAATATAAACTATAATATAAAATAAAATAAAATAAATACAACAAAATAAAATAAAATTAAATTAAATAAAAAAAAATAAAATTAAATTAAGTAAAATTAAATAAAATAAAATTAAATAAAATAAAATTAAATAAAATAAAATAAAATAAAATAAAATAAAATAAAATAAAATAAAATAAAATAAAATAAAATAAAATAAAATAAAATAAAGTAAAATAAAGAGAAAATTAAGTGAAATTAAATTATAAAAAATTCATATAAAGTATTAAATTAAATTGAAAAAACGAGAAAAATAAAAATAAATACATTGAAATAAGTTAAATAAAATAAAAACTATACAATTATATAAAATCATAAAAAATAAAATAATTAAAACTTCATATAATATAATGAAATATAAACAAATAGAATAAAAAATTAATTAGAATAAAAAATGAAAAAAACTTAAGTTAAATAAAAGTAAAAAGTAGAGTAAACTAAAAGAAAAAATATTAACAAATTAGAATGAAAAAATTCCAATAAATTATTAAATATATTAAAAAAAATATGTATACAAAAAATATAAAACAAAAAAATTAAATAAAATAAAAGGAAATAAAATATAGAAAATGAAATAATAGTAAATATAAAAAATTATATAAATTTGAATTAAAATATTAAATGAAATAGGTAAAAAAGAACAAAATAAATTAAAATATATACATTTAAAAAAAAGGTTAGCAAAAAATCACACACATTTTCACATAAATTTATATATTTGATTACTTAAACAGAATTTTTGAATAATGCATTAGTCTAAAATCTTGCATAAAAATGCCACATTTTCTTAAAAAAAAAATGAGTTCTCTTTAACAATGCAAGACCATTTGTTACTATTCGTATTTTTGTTGTTTGTACTTCATTATGAATTCGGTGAGATGTTGATAATAATAAGCAAATTGTTTTTCTGTACTTTCAGACTATAACGTAGCCTCGACGTTACCCAACCATATACGCGTTTTACAGTGGAATATTTTATCGCAAAGTAAGTTCTAAGGAGGATATTCAAATTGTCTGCCGAGCGAGTGCAGACAATGTAGAATTCATGAAGCCCATATATGCTTGAGCTGTTTTATTTTTACATATCCGATTTTTTAAATATTTATTTATTTATTCCTTTTTCTCCGTATTTTCATAGCACTGGGACAAAGCAATGACGGTTTTGTACGCTGCCCGGAGGAGGCTTTAACATGGGAAAATCGAAAATTTCTAATCGTGCAAGAAATATTGCAGTTCAATCCAGATATTATTTGTTTGCAGGTACATGAATTTGCTTTTATACTTATATACACATAGTAGAGGAGCTTATCAGTATAATTAATACACAGCAGCTGAAGCTTTTAAGAACATCGTGCATCAAAACTGTTTGGAAGTTAGTGTTGTTAATGGAGGTATTCAGAATACGTAGAAAATCTGGCATAGTGATGACCTCCAGCAAGGTTGTCCGCGAACTTAAGAAAAATCGATATATAGCAATAACGGTCTATGATTCAATTCTGTCTAGGGGACGAGGAATCGTTCAGTAAAATCAAGGAATACTTTCCCCTTCGATTATGACCTACGAAAATAGGTTTAACGAGTCTCTCTGTTATGCCCAGATAAGCTGAAAAAGGTCTCCCACTGAGAATAATGCGATCTCTTATTGACAACCCGTCGATGGATGCAAAGTTTCCTCATACCAAAATTAATTTGTTTAAGCACAAAAAAATAATTTCTATGTCCTTTTGTGATAACATAAGATGATATACGGTAGACAAGGAACTGTTGTAATTTTGGACCTATTCGTCTTATGTGCTCCGAAAAACGCGAAGATTGCCACAACGAACGGGAATTTGATGTCCCAAATCCTTTTGCCACTGCAGTAGCCGAGTCTGTGGGACTCTCCATTTGTTGTAAACTTCCCTACATCTCCGCAGTTCTAGTGGCCAAATTGGCCATTTGAGTCGAATGATAGCGTTGCTATGGAGTTGGACCATATTTTTGAATAAATCGTGCATTTTTCAAAACTTGTTTTTTTTTTCGCCTAAGTCATCGGACAGCCTTCAAATAAGATTTAAGAAAGAGATGAATTGAAGTAAAGGTGAATTGCTCTCTTTATCAAAGACAGAGGCAAAAGAACACTCAACACTTAAAATCAGCTTGCATAAACATACGTTTAATTTTATTTAAATAGTATTTTCATGTATATTATTATTATAACCTTTTTCTATTTTCAGGAAGTTGATCACTTCAAGTTTTTGCAAACAATTTTGGGCACACAAAATTACGATGGCATATTCTTTCCCAAACCCGACTCGCCATGCTTGTACATTGAGGAGAATAACGGTCCCGATGGCTGTGCTATATTTTATAAGCGCGACAAATTCGAATTAAAGAATTTCGATACGCGTATTCTCGAAGTATGGCGCGTGCAAAGCAATCAAGTAGCTATTGTTGTAAATCTTGCCGTTAAGAGTAGCGGTAAAGAGTTTTGTGTATGTACCACACACCTGAAAGCACGACACGGTTCCCTCTTATCGAAACTACGCAACGAGCAGGGACGCGATCTACTGCAATTTGTGAAACAATTCGCTGGTGATTTGCCCGTCTTGATTTGTGGCGACTTCAATGCCGAGCCCACGGAGCCCGTGTATGCGACCGTTTTAGGTGGCAAACTCATGAATTTGTCCAGCGCTTATGCAGATATTAAAACGGAACGCGATGAATGTAATAATGATAGCGGTAATGAGTTGAAGGCGAGCAAAGAGTTGGACAGTGATGCTGATGTGCAGACGACAGAAGAGGATGAAACAGATGGAGAGCAAGTGTGCGATGATAAAGTGTTGAAATCAATTCAACGTGAACCGCCTTACACCACATGGAAGATACGCGAGGATGGCGAAGAGTGCCACACAATCGACTATGTCTTCTACACGCCCGAACAGTTTAAGGTGAGGAAACACTTTCGTATGCATACATATATAATTATGTACATACATATAATATATACTTTCAATGCAACAAATTTTAAATGAAATAATTCTTGTTCATCCAACTCAGGTGCGCAATTGCTTAGAATTTCCACGTGATGACGAAGTTGGCAAGAATCGTACACCTAGCTTCCAGTATCCATCGGATCACTTCTCCTTGGTTTGTGACTTCGAAATATTAGATAAGAAATAAATGTGTTTCCTGCTTTTGTAATATGTTTAAAATAAATTTTACAAAAAAAAACCAAAAAAAAAAAAAAAATACAAAAACAAAAAAAAAATATAACACCGAGAGAGCAAGCAAAAGAGAATATTTGATGAAAGCATAGCATTAATAGTATCCTCCAGTTGCATCTGGAGTATCGCACAACTTTCACTTCATTGGAATTCACGAAATCAATTAAATAATTGTGATATTAGTTGTTAGATATACTTACACGTACATACATATATACTTTAGACACAAGTAGTTTCATTAACATACCAAGAAGCCAAGTAGCAAACAAACTGATACATTTTTTTGTAATATGAAGAGCAATAAACATTAATAAATACAAAAATAAATAAATAAATATTTGTAAATGGTTATGTAAGTGAAACAAATGAATGTATCGTCATCTTTGTTATATTCGATATATCCATACAGGCAAGTATTGTGTATGAATTCTAATATAATACGTCAATATGAAGGGTCTTACACGGAGTTTCTCGATAATTTATGGAATACATATGTACACTGCTGCTCAACTAAATAAATAGGTTTAAGTATGCATAGGTTATTAATTAAGTTATATAAGCTAGATTAATTGGCCGATTTTGTGGACGGTGTATTTCAAAACAACAGAAGATGCTCAGGCTTTGCTGATATACTGATTTAACTGTAAAAACTTGACTTGCCAAATTATGTACTGAAAAACGCTTTAACCAAATTAGTTTAAAGTGCTATCGAAGGGTAGAGAAACTATGGCTAACTTTAAGTTGAAAGAAGCTTTTAAGAATTTTTTGAGAAATCTAGTGATGTGCTGCCTTTGGTCATGCCGAACTTATAAAATTTATTGAAAAATGCAAAAAAATTCAATTTTACGCGCTTAGATAATTTTTGCATGGATTTTTGACACAAATTTGCTAGCTGTAAAAATCGTTTGTTTGGGGCGATATTATATAATCTTCTGATTTCTCTGATTTCGGCGACAGTGCTTATTTGTAAATAGGAACGTACAATAACAAATTTCATGCTCATAGAACAGTTGCGATGAATTTTCGACCTATAACCTCATATCTGCGGCCGCGGTAGTCGTGTGGTTAGCATTGCATATTGCCATTCGGAAGGCTCGGGTTCAAACTCTGTTATTTAAAAAATAAAAAATAAATTTAAAGTTTTCTAATTGCGGTCGCCCCTCGGCGTGGACTGTCAAAGCCTTCGGCTGTATTTCTGACTTGAAATAAAGCTCCTCATAAAAAACCGTCAGCCGTTCGGAAGCTGCTTAGTGCAAACTGTAGGTCCCTCAATTTTTTGAAAAAAAAAAAACAAGAAGACGCAAAACCACGAATTGGAGGAGAAGCTTGGCCGAAAATCGTTTCAGCGGCTACAAAGGTGAAGTAAAAAATTCGTTCGGTTTTTATCTAAGAGATGTCGTTATTGTCCATTGTACTAGTGTTACGTGTCGCATCATGTCATACCATACGGCGCTGAAAACGTGTTTATTCGCGCTTAAAGTCTTGTCTTTTACAGTTTTTCATTTGATTGACCCAGTACGTTGTGAGCGCTCTTCAAAGATGGACACCAGCAAAGAGAAAATTCGCTATGTTTTACAATTTTTCTTCGATCAAGACGAAAAAGGAGCCAAAGTGGCTGAAACAATTAAATTGGTTTATGGATCCGATACCTTAAACGAACGTGTAGCACAAAAGTGATTTGCTAGGTTCCGTTCCGGTAATTTCGATGTCAAAGATGCAACAGGTTTTACTGTGTGCTTGGTGGGATTGGCAAGGAATCATGTACTACGAGCTGCTCCCCTATGACCAAACACTCAATTTGGCCCTGTACTGTTGAGGAGACCATCTTTGGTCAACAGAGGCCGAATTGTGTTCCATCAGGACAACGCCAGGCCAGAAGCTTCAGGGGCTCGGAAGGGAGGTCCTAATACATCCACCTTATAGTCTACACCTGGCACCAAATGATTACCATCTTTTCCTGTCCAAGGCGAACGCGCTTAATGGTGAGAAGTTGGCCTCAAGAGAGGCCTGTGAAAATTAGTTCTCCGAGTTTTTTGCCAATAGGGACGCAGCCTTCTACGAGAGGGGTATAATGAAGTTAGCATCTCGTTCGCAACAAGTTTATAAACAAAACGGCGCATATTTGACTTAAATCGCACAAATGTACGCAAAGTTATCATATTTTGAAAAAATCAATAAAAAAGCGAAGGAACTTCTTACCATACCATAGAGAGAAATTTTAGAGGTAAAATGCTGTTAAATTCATGTTAATAAATTAAATAGATTCTAAATAAGAGTGTCACGCAGTTGAAAAAACATGGTTTCGAGAAAAAGCTCTTCCCTCTTCTCTACGTACTACTTGGTCTTGCGGACCTTTGAGACTAATTTTATATTATTACTAAGAGTATTTTCTAGCAAGTTACAATGAATTTTTTTTTTTTTTTTAAAATTTTAGAGGACCCTGACTTTAATGAAAATAAGTACAAACTCATAACTTTGACATTAAAGTCAAAAACGTGTTCCACTGTGAATGTCGACAATGTGCACATTCAGTAAGTTCACGAAATTTTATACCTCGGTATCCACTTAGGCAAGCGCATAACCTTGAGACGACGTATTGGCTTCTAAACAAGAAGTCTAAGATTAAAAAGTTGAAGATTAACAACAAAGTCCTGCTATACAATGCGACTATGAAACCGACATGGAATCCGGTTATGGGGCTTGCACGTCAAATATAGACATAATTCAAGAGTTTCAGTCTTAAGAATAATAACGGGTGCACTATGGTACATACTCGTATATTATGAAAATTTCCAAAGGAATTGTTTAAGCGTCCGTTTAAGTCACCGTAAACAATAAATTGTAACTTGTAACTTGTAAAATTGTTAGAAATCATGGGTGGAGTAACATATAAGTAGCTACTGACCTGCAAAACATTTCCAAGACTCAAATTCATTGGAAAAGAGTGAGGTGTAATGAAGAAAAATATGAACGACTGGAAAGTGATATTCGAAGCAATAAAGAAAACTAAAGCATTGATTAGCCAGGTAATTAATGAATATTCACTTTATTCAAAAATAGAAGATACCGAGAGAACTTGTATTGTAATTCATATCAAAGGTACACATTCGGAGGGGTTGACATTTCCTCTACACAATTAGAATATTTTTTCCGTAACATTGATCTGGCCAGTATTCGACTCACCGTACGGTTATATAAATAATTTAAGTCTTAAACCACCAAGAATATGCTTAAATCAAATAATTATTCGTTCCTTAATTCCAAAAATATATGTATATATTGCTGAGCCTAACGGTGCAGAACAAAATAGAAATGGCAGTCCAAAAGTATTAGTTTTTGTAATGCAAGTTAGCCATTTTCAATATTCTCTAATTCTCTAAACTTTTCTAATGCGTACATAATTCGCAGCCGCAGCAGTTTTATACTTTTACGCTTTCTTTCTATCAATATTAAGTGAAATCCCATTCGAAAATTTCCTATAAAAAGTCAAAAAACAATATTAAATAGAAAAATATGAAAGTTTATTTTATTGCATTTACGCATGTAAATATAAAAAATGATACTGAGTACAATGGACTTATACAAATATGTATTATCGTGCATAACTATTCGAGAAATTATAATGCCTTTGCTATAAAAATATATTATAACAATTTGTTCGATATCCTTATTCTACTTCATATTTCTCCTGCAGGGAAAAGGTAGATTAGCATGCAAAAGTACTGGGTAAATGCTAGTATTTTGAAGTTGAAATCATACCAGTTAGTTGACCACTAACGGTAGAAATAAAAATTTTCACCATCCTTTATTGTTGTTATAGCGGGATAGTTCTATTCTCTGCACTGCTCTGTTGAAGGGCGCAAAATGAGGTTGATCGGTAGATGGGTCGGTTTAAGATTGATCGGTAGGACCTCCCATTAGATGACGTCGGCGAGTTAGATTAGTGAAACCTGTACCTAAGCGGTGTTAGCGAACCGCTACAACAACAACAAACAACAGTTTGATCGGTACATAGCCGAGTGGTTAGAAATTTTTGCTGTAGTGCATTAGGTCCACAGTTCGTTTCCCGCGGTAGGCATATTCATTTTTTTTTAATTTTTTTTTTTCGATGAAGCGAAAATTTCTTAACACCACCCCTTGTTATTTTTAGTATGCGTCGGCTGAGTTTCATTTCCTCATATTCTCTGTTGAAACGCGTACATCTCGTCGCTGTCTACAACACAGCGTTAGCCTAGTGGCTAGAGGTTATCACTGTGGCGTCCATAAGGTTCACGAGTCGCATCTGACAGCAGGCAAACTCATTTAAATTTTATTTTGTGAAGTAGAAATTACAAGTACCCAAAATGAACTAGTATACAACTAGTATAAAACTAATGCATAAACGAATAATTGACAGTTCGCTTCAGTTGGATTCTAATCGCTGAGTTTCTACTTAATTTTGTGGTATACCTCTTGATGGTTTTCTAATAAATGGAGGAGTCTACAGTTTTTTCGAAGCCGCTGCCAGTCATTTGATATTTTTTTATGAGGAGCTTTTAAATCATGTCCGACAGCTTAACAACTAGTATTTTTCCCTGCAGGGTATGTAAGCGCTTTTATATATATATATATGGTATTTGTATATATTTGTATATATAGCTTATGTTGATAATGGATGTAACCTAATAGCATATATATATGTATTTTAAATTTAAAAAACAATATGTTTTAAAAAAATGTCTCAGAATTTACTTAAACACGAATTAACTTTAAACTTGCTATAAAATTAAAATTTTTGGTTGCCAATTGTTTAACATTTTTGTGCTTATACAGAAAAGAATTCCTGCGGCTGGACTTCGCTGATCACTTAGAATCGGGCGCATCTGCCACACCAAATGCCGAGATGAAAACATTAATCACAGTTATAATAAAAATGCCACATATTGTATAATTATTGACTTTTTCAGCATGACACACTTCCTTTTTATCCTCAATATTATAGCGACTGTTGAGGATTAAACCAACACCGACGGCTATCTGAAATTTTTGAAAAAAAAAAATAATAATTATTTTAATTAATTTGTTGTGAGTTATTTTGTATAGATTTAATAGCGACTTACTTGAAAGCCAATACTGAGTATGAGTAAAACCAAACTGGGATAGAAATATGGATGATTTTTATAAGTCTCCACTACATAACGCAATTGATTGGCATTAGCTGTAAGTAGTGCTAAGTCCATCATTCCCTGTGCCAGGGTTTTCTTATGCGCATAAGCGTTGACGTCGACGGTCGTCAGCTCTTCCAAGGCGTCCAGTTCCTCTGGGAAAAATATTTCGGTTAATAATATATTATTCATTTATTGTTGTTATGTTTTCGTACAAAACTTTCTTATAGTAGTAGTTGCGGAGATCAGTGGCAAACGTTTTTACATTATATGTGAAAAAATAAATAAGAATGCATTAAATCGGGAAATAAACTGGAAATAAAAATTGTTGAAAATGTATAAAAAGCCAAAAGTATTTGAAACAGAAAGGTATATCTGTTCTGTTCTGCTTCCCTTTCAGACCACCGCCAATTGTAAAGTGGCCTGGTCTACTCAAGAGCTACTCAGCATACACGCCTTCAAAGCGATCCAGAACTGGGTTTTGCTGGGTTTTAGCGAAAGCTTAGCTTGGCTTGCTTAACATTAATCCTAGTACACCTTACAGCCCTACTACACATTGTTGTGGTGCTGTTGTTGTTATTATTATTGTTTTTTCTTATACAGTGCGTTTTTTGTCAAATCTAAAAGCGTCACTATTATTTAAGAGTGTCTATCTGACTTTTATAACGAAGTCGACTTCAGTAGTCCCAAAATTGTATCAGACCATATTTCGATTCAAAGCTAGTCGATTTTTTTAATAGCTCCGTGAATTTTAATTTGGAGGGTTTAAAGCTCTAAAAAAATGATATCATCTTGATATACTCGAATATGGCTTATATAATTCATATAAATGTATAATATGGGCTTTGTAACTAACCGCTGAAGCGATTTTCGGCCGAACTCCTCCTGCAATTTGTGGCATGTGTCTTGGAGTTTTTCCAACAAATGGAGGGAGCAATAGTTTATACTGAGCCGCTTCCGAATAGCGGAAGGTTTTTCTATGAGGAGCCTTTATTTGATGTCAGAAATACACTCAGAGGGGTTGACATGTCCTGCCGAGGAGCTATCGTAATTAGAAAATTTTTTATTAATTTTTTATTTAAATTAAATATCAGTAATTTTTAAATGTTGGTCGGACCAGTACTCGAACCTTAGAAATTATATCTCTTCTTCCTTTGTCACCGTAGTATTCGCCATTGCCAATGCGCAAAGGGCCAGAAATCGTTCGCAAAAATTTCTCTCAAAGACTTCCAAGGCCGACTCATCGGATGTCGATATCGTCTATGCCCCTGTACCATATATCAGGTTGGAAATGATAAGGGATTTATAGAGGTGGGTTTTAGTTCGTATAAAGTGGAATTTTCTTCCAATTCCCAACTCAATCCAAGTGTAATTCTGCGCTGGGTTTCAAGGCTGACATTATTCTTAGTATTAATGCTGGTCCCCAAATAGAGAAGATTATAAAACTGTCAACAGTAACCTGAGAGCCAAGACGCAATTGTTTTATGACTGGAGATATATCGTCTTGTTCTCGTTCACTAACAGGCCCATTCACTTCGGTTCTGTATCCAGCCTAGAGAAGACACATCTAACGGCGCAGTTGTTAAGATCTATACATATATATCATAAATTTGAATTTAAAATTTTCGGCAAATCGTCTGATCGTTACTCCAGTGTTCTGCAATCGACTGAGGTTTAATTGAAAAATAATTATTGATGTATTAAAAAAATTGCACAGCCGATTACTAAAATATTTAAATGTAAATGAAGTTGGCAAAACAGGAGTAGAAATCGAATTATTTCCATGCAAAGTATGAACTTTCCCAAATTGAGTGTTGTATTTGCTAGTTTCAAGAAATACATTTATCTTAATTTTCATAGTAATATTTCAGCTAAAACTATTTAAGCTTTAGATAAAATATCCACTGATTTTTTTGTATTTTTTCATCATTATTTAATTTGCACTTATCACGCAATTTTATTTAGCCAACCACATCAGAGTGTGTTGAAAAAACTCCATATTACAATACAATATGTGTAGCAGTCTAATTAATGTGCACTGAAACTACAATTCTTGTAAAAGATATGCATATAATCTGACCGATATTTACAATTCTAAGAATTTTATGAATAACTTCCCTTTTCCCACAGTGTACATTATACTATGTTCGCTAATGCTTTTCTCTCAGATATACGTATACGATATGTATTTATATATATATATATATATATATATATATATATATATATATATATCGTATGTATTTATAATTGGCGCTTTGTAACAGTTGAATCGATTTCGGGCCGAGCTCCTCCTACAATTTGTGGTTTTGCGCCTTGATGTTTTCATAACAAATGGAGGGTTCTACAGTTTATACTAAGTCGCCTCCATACGGCTGGCTGAGGCGCTTTTATTAACATTTCCCGCCAAGGGGCGACCGCAATAAGAAACTTTAACTGAATTTTTTATTTAAATTAATTTTCTATAACTTTTGGATGTTGATCGGAACAGGCGGCCTTCCGAGTGGCAGTATGCAATACGCGAATGGCACCCTCGTGTCATACAATTGCGGCTGGATTACGATATATTCACTCAACTATTTCATTATTTTTTTTGTTATTCTTACCTGGGGTGCGTATTGCTCCATCGATTTCAGTGCGCTCGGAATCCATGAAATCTCGATTCAGTGAGTGTTTCTCCGAGCGATCGTCTCCCATATCAATAAATTCCTGAAAAGTTATTAAAGATTTATAAAGTCTGTCATATTTGCATTGAATAAATTAAATTTACTATATTTCTGTTTTGATTAAAGTTTTATTACTATTGCGTTTTTAAAAACAAGTACTGAAATAGTAACGACAATTCTTAAATGGACCCAGTGCAAGGCACAATTCATGTCAACCATGCAATAAAGTATAGTCCAAGACCTAACAAAAGCTCAAAACCAAATGCCTACTATCCTGCTAATCAAAATATGAACGAACTAGGGTTAGAGTGCTAATAGTGTTAATCAGCAAGTATTAGCTCTAAAATTATTTCTCCAGTCACAAAATCGATGTTGGAACATCATCTCACCCATAAGTATAATTATTTCCCTGAGTTTAAGTTGTTCAGCACTAATCACACAGAGCGAAAATCTCGTGGTGGTTCAGCTGTACCTATGGGAAACAGTTTAAAGCTTAGCCTTCTTAGTTGCAGTCAACTTCCATAACTTTTGAAAACATATTGACCTTATCTTGGCAGCGAAATTATAACGCAGTCATGAATTCCAAAAATAAGTTTTTTTAATTTTATCTCCCGAATGAAAAGCTACTTGAAAGTCAGTGTCCCTTTCGTCTTACGACAGCTAGAACTTCTTCTTCTTTACTGGCGTAGATACTGCTCACGCGATTATAGCCGAATTAATAACAGTGTGCCTTTCAATTCCTCCTTCCGCTCTTTGGCACCAATTACAAATACCAAGTACAGGTAGGTTCTTCTCACCCTGATCTTTCACCTCTGCTTTCACCGGCGGGTACTGCATCGCACACTTACAAAACTTGAGTATTCTTATTCATTCGGACCTAGTTAGCGTAGCCTGATTCGCATAACTATGTTAACCTCACCTTATAACTCGACAACTCGCCGTTCCATCGGCTGCCGAATTTATATCTTTATTTATATCTTACGAAAAACATCTCTCTTGTAAACTTATAACCGACTCATTAACTATTGCCATCGTCCATGCCTCCGGCCATGTAGCATGCCGACAATGATGAGTGACTTATAGAGCTTGGTTTTTATTCGTCGGGAGTGGACTTTACTTTTCAATTGCCTACTCTATACAAAGTAGTACCTGTTGGCAAGAGTGATTCTTCTTTGGACTTCCAGGTGTTAATTTAATGCTGGTTCCAGGATAGACGAATTTATTGCCATCAAAATCTCACAAATCACTGTGAGGAGTGACATGTTGCCGAGTTGCGAATGCAATGACTGTATTTTTTCTATGACAGGAGACATTTTTTCTTGCCCTCGATCACTACGAGACCCATACTCTCCACTTACTTATCTATTTTTGAGAAATCAGAGCTCAAGACGCGGTTGTTGAGGCCAATAATGTCGATATCTTCGGCGTACGCCAGAAGCTGTACACTTTTATAGAAGATTGTACCTTCTCTATTCTGCTCTGCAGCTCGTATTATTTTTTTACGCGCTAAGAAATCACCATGACTGAATCCTCGTTTGGTAGCGATTCAAATGCAGACAACGGTTGCATAAAAAGGACGAAGAGGTGGTGTTTATTGATACATTTGTCACATATCTTCTCCAAGATTATAAAGCAATCTCATATAGACGAACCCCGTCCTATAGAGTACACATTACATTGATAACGTGGTACTTGTATTGAACAGTATGCTGGCGGGTATTAAAGCAGTTCGATGTGTTTAGGTGCACTGATGCACTCTCCCTTCCCAACAAATCTGTGTAATGATTCGAATCTTTGGACTAACACCTTGATCTCCGCAATAAGTCAAACCCGCCTGAAGAGAGGAGACAAACCATTATACTAAAAAGCAACGTGAAGCCAGCAGCAGGTTCCTGCTAATGGATTTTATATTTTAGGTTAGTTTTAAGATTCTTTTATTTATTGTAAAGTCTCCAATGTCGTAGGTGATTCAATAAATAAATAACAGTTTGAAAAACTCACTAATAATTGTTAAACACATTATGCAAACACATAAAAACTGCAGTGTAAAAGAAGCAATGATACCAAAAAATGGCATTAAACTCTTCTAGAGGCAATGACTTCGTTAGAAAATCGTTTAAAAGTTAGCCGCACGCAATTGGTCAAACGCAGTGAAATTTTGTAAACAAACTTCTCGTGTAAATTATTAAATAAATAAATTCAGTGAAATTAAAGAAATAAATAATTAACTTTGAAGTTAAGAAATCTATATACATATTTAAGTATATGTGTAGTATGTAATAAAATAAAAACAGTATTTACTTTAATTACACTCATCAACATTGTTTTTGATGATTTTTGTTTATATCAGTGTACGCTCAATAAAAATATGTAAAGACTTTGCTTCAATTTTTCCGGTTTTTCTTTTATTTTTGACACCCAGAATATTTTGATAATTTTTATAATTTCATTTCGGTGTTGTGTAACTATTGGGTGTGTGTGTGGAAAATTAACATATAAATCTCCGCGTCGAAATTTTACATCATTAATTAAACGTAACTATTTTGACTATGTTGAATTTAGTGTGAGGAATCAAGATAAATTTTGGGTTCATTTTGAGTAACGTGTGTCAGACTGAACAACAACCCAAAACATTTGTCATACTAATTTGAACGATTTGAACGGAACCAAACGATCATGTAAGTGATTGCTATTCTTGTTTGACTCAAACAAAAGGTATTACAACTAAATCCAAGCACACTGTCCACTATCCAAACGATGTAAAATCAAACAGAAAAGCCTGATTCTTGTCAAAAATTTTTCCCAAGTTCGCACAGTACGATATCTTGAGATAAGGATCCAAGTTATCAGTCGTCATCTTCAAAAACACCGCACTTTTTGGCCCAAAGTGATTTAAAAGATTTATTGCGAAATTGGAAACTGTCTAACTGTCTAGTTTCTAGATTGAACGGCTGTAATTTGCTTTCTAGTGATACAAAAATTTCTCATTTTCGTCAAGGTGATGATTGCTTATTGACTCTTCAAAAACTAGTTTGAAAGTTGTGTTACTGCAACAAACCTTCTTCAGTGCCGGTTGGCCATGGTTTACATATGAAAAAAATTGACGAAAATATGAAATTTATTCTTAAAGATAAAATAATAATAATAAACGCGCGTAAAAAATTTGGGCCGATTTTAAAATCATTGCAGTTTTCTTTGGACTACAGCTTGTTACACAAATTTTACTATTTTATTTACGAATGGAAGAGTAGAGGCAGAAAAAGGCACTATACAAGGAAAGTGCCATACGCCAGATCATAAAAATTTTTAAAATTATTCTTTAGTGAAACCTGATGGCAGTTCCGTAACACCGTTGCATTGCCTGATTACTTAAAAGAGAAATTCCATGAACTCAGCGGGGGAATATTTGTAAGTCCACAAATACGGCAACTGATAGAGCATAAGAACTTTGTGGGAAAATTGAATGACCAGATCGAGCTTGCCTGGCTATGTTTTGTGAATTTTTATTATTTATTATTATTAAAAAGAACGTAAGAGCGCTGCAGAAACGTGCCGAAAATTTTACTGTAAGTGAATACTGGAATCAGAATAATTTGCTTGATCCCAGTGCATATAATATGACGTCAAAGATACACCTCGTTCTGCTCGGCCAGTCATGCTGATGAAATTATATGTGTAACTGGTGGAGCCGCATGTAAAGTGCAAAGGAATGACAGATACATTATTAGTCACTCACTAGACATCTAGGAATCAGTTAAGGAATCTCGCTACTAAAACAAGCTGAATATTTGGAAGTCAGACGAGTTAACGTCAAAAAGTTTGAGTGGCCGAATTACCATCAAGTAAAGGCTTCTGAAACGCGACAAAATCGAACAATCTGAAGGGACTCATCATATGCTAAATGTGTTAAATACAAGAATGTTAAACGATCATGGCCAAAGATCGGTGACCCTCCACAAATGACCTGCATTGACGGCAAGCAAAGTAAGTTTTACAAGTTGGTGGGATTGTAAAGGGATCGTCTATTTTTAGTTACTACAACAATTAACTATCTTACTACATGCTCTTCAAAAAGAATTTGCCAAAAAAGGTTTTGAATTTGCCAACGACAGAGAACACACATCCGGGGGATATTAAAGCCCAGTCAAGGAAAATGGAGTTTAGTAATGATGGCAGCTGGACTACAGCATCTCCTTTATGTCCTTCGACAATCTTTTTTCCACGAGTATCTCAAATGAATACGAGTGCCAAAAGACCAGCTCCCCTCTATCAAGGAACCATAGCTATCTTCACAGATGGCTCGAAGCTTGATGGAAAAGTGGGCTGGGGAATTTATTCTCCCATATATAATATATAATTTGCGCTTTGTAACCGCTGAAGCGATTTTCGGCCGAGCTCCTCCTCCAATTTGTGATTTTGTGTCTTAATATTTTTCTCCCATGCTCTCATTAAATATGAGCATGAGACTGCCAGACCACTACAGCGAAACTTTTTGCTGTCATGGAGGCCTCCGAGTGGATGCACAAATCTGCGGCAGCTGAACAATCGGTTAGAATATACTCCGACAGAAAAGCTGCAATCAACTCTCTACAACTCAACAGTACCACGTCAAAAGTGGTCATAAAATGTAGAAACTTTCTTAACAAACTCCCAATTAAATTTAGCACTGCCGTTGGTTGGGTACCTTGATTCAGTGATATCCCAGGCAATTGCATGGCATACGAACTAGTGAGGAAAGGAATATTTTTACACACGATAAAACATGCACACGATGCTAGTTTATCCCTGTGCACGGAACTGTACATGTTTAAAATGGCCTTTGGCAGGGAAACTGACTGAAGATGACTGATCAAGATCAGGTGCAACGTGACCAAGAAGCTATGACTGAAGTCGGACGCGAAAAAATCAAAACATCTTATCCTTCTAGACCGGTTCTCTATTACCATAATAACAAGCATAATAGCAGACCACAGTGGGCTTCACGGAAAATAATGGGTTATCACTGTAATGATTTTACCGCAGCTGCATGGACGAAGAAGAAGAGGAGACCACCGAGCACTATCTCTGTACATGTCCAGCTTTGACGTCTATGTGACACAAGTTCCTTGGAAAAAATTTCTTTCAGCGAATATTGGAAATCTCTTTATACGGCACACGAAATGGTACAATCATTTGAGAAGGTGAAGGCAGGAGCCTCGGCGGTATTACAACGGGCCGATTGGCGACCAGCAGCTGCAATAACTCAACCACCAACAAATATGCACGGAAATCCTGAGTACTATTTCATTATAAATTAAAATTTTTATTTAAAATTCTTCTAAGCGAAAATTGTTGTATTTTTTCGGAAATAAAATTGTTTTTGCACATATTTTTTGATTTCAAAAATTGATATCAGTTTTTATCTGGCAAAAAGTTTCATTTTTGTTGGCCAGTGTCATTAGTAAACAGTGATCGTAAATGTTTGAGAAATGTATGTATGTGTGTGTATAATGCTTAGATGACTATGGCGTGCGCTTTTTATTTTATTTACATTAATGTTTTGATAACACACTGTACACCAAACACGAAACCAAAAAAAACAACTTGCATATAATTATATGTTATAGAGATACTCGTACATTTATAATTTACACTTTGTAACCGCTGAAGCGTTTTTCGGTGGATATATATGTATAAATCATAAATGATTCATTGAATATTTGGCAGGAGTTACCCGACTTCTTTCATTTACTTTTTGCTATTTCTATTGTTTACTTGTTTCAAAGTTTTGTATTGAATAAATCGTTGAACGCTCAGGCCGCGGCACGACTCTTCAGTGCGTCAAGGGCACTTCGTTGTCAATTAAAAATTGCCAACTCCTTTTCAGAATCAAATTTTAAGGCAGTGTCTTGTCTGGTTAGTTCATTTGCTGCTCTGTTACCTGGAATATCTTAACTTCATTGAACCCATTACATGTTTAGCATAAAGTTTATTTTACTTCTCCTTGATTCGAAGAAACTTTGATGACTTAAAAATTGATTAGCTATCTGTATACATAAATATATTTTTTGTTGTTGAAAGCTAGTGTTTGAAAAATCTGTTTGTTTTATGTAAATTGAAAAAAAAGTAGATGCGACAGCTGTTTTAGAGATTATTATCCTCATCAGACTTCTTTTGCCACTGAGCTAACATCAACCACGCTGACTGCTGTAAGCACTATCTTTTACAGAACCACGAGGCTTTCTTTGATTGCAGTGAGCTGATTGTGGAAAGACTACCAAATTTTCGCTGAAAAGACTACACCTCTCACTCGATTATCTTGTTTAAACTCGTCATGAAGGATACTTAACTCTGAGTCTTCGCCCACGTCAACCTTATCCTACTCCTCTCCGAAGGGAAAGGCAAATTTGAGGGTTGAATTTGAATTCATTTTTAAGCGCCGACTTCGCTGCCTGTTGCTTGCAATACAAGTCACTGAAGTCGTAGATAACTTTGTCTAACTTTGAACCAACATTAAGGGGTTACATAGGTCTTGAAATTTCAAAAAATGCATTTTTTTGATAACATTTTGTATAAAAGTACAAAGTGTCAGGAATATTTTCCCCAAAGTTTCAAATCGATCGAGACGAAACTGTGGAAATTAGAGTGTTTTATAACCCGCCGTCTTTGTCATGACTTGACCTATGGCGAAATTTTAAACGCGCTTTTCTTAAAACCACTTTATCGAAATCGGTAGTAAAAATTTCTAACGACTGTTGAAGCGATCGAGTTCAAATTTTCCACACTTCTTTTAAGCACATTTTTGTAGTCCCTGAACGAAGGATTTATTTTATATTTGATTTTAACCCATTTTACAAGCCAATATAAATTTTTAATTTTTTTAATTTTTTTTTTTTTGTTCAGGAACAATGAAAATTCACCTACTTTAAGAAAAAATTTGAATTTTTGATTTCAGATAAAAATTTAAAAAGTTATCATGACTGCCGCGAAAGCACTTCCTTGTGGATGGTCTATTTCACGACACTACCAAAGCCTTAACTTATAGTATTTTCATTCAAATTTTCATCAAATGTTGTTCACATATTATATTTTTATATATAAACAAAATATATTCTGAACATAATTTAGTTGTTTTTTAAAAAATTAGAGAAAATAACCTTTTTTTGGCCTTCGAGACCTATGTAACCTCTTAATACCAACAACAATGTCAACCTTGAAATCAGACGCAGAATCATTCTTGCCAATAGGTGCTACCTCGGAAGGAAAGAACGAACGAACAGCCGCTTTGGCTACGCTAGCTAGTCCATGCAGTCCAGATGTATGAGAACACTTCAGATTTGAAAGTTTTCAATACAGTACCTGCCGATGGAAGCAGAGGAAGAAGAATACATCAACTCCGTTTGAAAGAACAGGTGGAATATTTCTAATTTGACGCCAAACAGCGAAAAGAAGGAGTTCGTGGCGCGATACCGTTAACTCGGCTGTAACAGCATAAGCGTGCTCTCCGCCAGTGAAGCAGAAGGATACTCATAACTTCATATGGAACTTTTCATAGCATCCGCTTGCTTTTGCTAACCACTCTGGGGTCAGCATGCTCCAGCCAGCGCTAGTTTGCAGTCACCGGTCTGTCGTATTTTCGTATTGCTATAATTGGATCTTCTGGATTTTTAGAACAATAAATATCGAGCGAGACTTTGGCTCAATTAACAATGACATATTTGATGCATAGATATGAAATATTTTTGAAAATTTATGCAAAGTTAAGAATAAACTTTACTGCTCAAGACACTTACTAATTAAAACAAATATTAATTGCAGTCTGTAAATATTCACTTGCAACTATAATTGTTTAATTCTATTTAACAGCCATACAGTTGCTGCCATGAACGTATGTATGTATGTATGTACGGATATTCATATGGCTATTTCAGTTAGCCGTAAATTGTAAGCACAAATATACATAAATTAAAGAGAAAAGATGCTTACACACACACACACACACACAAATGTGTACACAAATGTATTACTCATATCTAGTTTAAAGGGAAAAACTTAAAATAAATGATTGATTAATTTACCTCTCCTCTAAGGCTGCTTTTATCATTCAATAATCCATTTGGCTGTTGTGAGGTTGCCATCATATATACAACTATTGTTATATGCGTGTATATGTAGTTTTGTACAAGAGCTGAGTTGAAAGTTGCGAAGTCTTCTTAAGAATATAATAAAATTGTTGATATTCTTTAAATGTTCTTCTTTGTTTATTTTTTTTTTCTTTTCTTTTCTTTTTTTTGCCTGAAAATGTTTTTTTTTCAAATATGGGCAGCAATGAGTCGGCTTTTTATAGTATTTATTTATTGTATTAATAAAATTTTGTATACGTTTCTTTTAAATGCTTCTCTTATTCACCAACCACTCGAATCACTTGTGCAATCGCCTTCGAAGCTCCCGCTGAACTGATTTTTGAAAACTCTCAACAAACGATCACAAGTAACGCATTGTTGTGCTGCGCTACTACATACGTGTATGTATGTATTGTCCATTCTCCGATGATTGAGCAATGAGATGCGAGAAAGAGCAGAACCTTAACACGCTATGTATTTATTTAAGTTGGTACATACAAACCTATGAATGCACGGATGTTTGGGGCACAAAGCCTCTACGGTGAAAACCCAGTCCAAAAGGCGAAAAAAAAATAATTACAAATAAAAGAGAGCATGTTTTGAAATATATGTATATGTGTATACTAATGCAAACAGCATCGGTGTCGTTCATAACTTAAAAAAAAAAGTATGAAGTTTTTTAAGCATACATATATACATATTTATGCAGTGCGCAGACAAATTTGTATATGTAGTAGACTATAACGCAGCTTTATGGCAGATAAAAATTATAAAGAAAATTGGAGAAAATGTTCAACATTTAAGAAATTCCCCGAATACATATAAATATACATACATTCCTCCTACATAAGTATATAAATTTTTTTTCAATTTTTTTAAATTTTTTTTTAATTTTCATATCACACGATTAGTCATGATGCATCTCAGGGAATTTTGTGAAATTTATTTGTATAATAATATATAATAAATACCACATAAATATATATATATATGTGCACGTTAAATGTGCAGAATGTGAACTATGTTCCAAGATAGATGAAAGTATCTACGACTTCAAAGTTATGTTATGTCAACAGTGACGTAGGAGCCGAGAAGCAAATGTGACGACTGTGTTTGGTAAGAGCATATATTTGATCTTGCTCTCGTTCACTACTAGACCCATATCCTTGGCTACCTCACCGTATAAGTTTTTCGGGGCTACCGAATTCAGACATAGCGGCGTGCATACTGTCGAAGGATGCTTTAAAAGGGCTGATGAATGTCGATCCTCTTTTCACATGTTTTTTTTTCAAGATTTGACGTATGATAATTATCTGGTCAAAAGTTGACTTATCAGGTCTGAAGCCACACTGATAAGGTCAAATTAGATTGTTGACGGTGGGCTTTAGATTTTCTTATAATACATACGTGTAGGCCCGCTGAAGTGCGGCTGCGAGCGGTCATCGATCTAGAAGCCAGCGGCTCGCTATATAAATGTATAAAAACTTTAAAATTACTCGCCTAGCAAGGTTGGATTTGGCACACAGAATTCAGCAGCGAGATAAAAATTGTAAGCTCACATTTGTAAAATAAGTCATTTTTCTCTAGTGAGTGGACTTTTTTTTTTTGATGAACGGATAATAAAAATCCAGTAAGCGGTCATACAGCAGTCGTTTTTATTGCAAACTAGTGGTTGCCCGCGACTTCGTCCGTATGGAATTCTAATACGATTTTTAATGGGGTTTTACGTTTCTTCTTTTATTATAACTTCGAAACTACTAAGTTTTGTAAAATATAAGCAAAAGAAAGAAAAGTTTTTCACATATTAGTCTAAGCAAAGATCTATCTACGTTCAAGACATCATGCAAAGAGAGCAATGGATACCGTTTTTCCGAACAGATTGTCACATAATGAGCTTGGCTAAGAGCGACCCATATAAGTTCCACATATTACGTGAAACCGAACCAACGGGTCCACCCCAAAACAATTTCCCGGAAGAAAAATTGTTCACCATGTCAAATGACTTGCCTGAACACCGGATTTCAAGTAAATGAAATGATTTAAAAATAAATTCAATTTTCTCGAAGAGATCGGTCCAGGATGACCTGCCCTGAAGAAAAAGTACTCCCCCCAATAGCTCCCAAAGCTGTTAATGTAGCGAATGTAACTCGTATTTAAATTAAAAGACAAATACAAATTTGTTGAGTTATCCGTGTACCAAATTTCGTGCGAATTAAATGATTTAAAAATTAACTCTATTTTTTAGTTCACGGAAAATCCTTCCTTATCAGATGAATACGGCATACGCATGAACCGTCAAGACTTGCGAGTGTAAGTAGACTAAAAAGTAACGTGTTTTTGCGGACAAACCCTTAACTCTTGAGCACTTGAAAATCAATATTCGTCAATTAATAGCTGAGATTTGAATGGGGCAGTTTTTCCCCAAGCCAAAGTTCAAACTTCATAACAAATTGGAATATCATGAAAAAATAAATTATTTTAAATGAATTTTATTTACGTTCATTTTTGAAACCTCGGCATGCATAACCCTGTATATTTTCATTTTTATGGAAGTTTTTAATTAATCTCTGACTTTATCACCAAACGTTGATAAGCAAGGTCTAAGTCCTAGGCAACCCCCAACCAAGGTGTGGCCTGTTCATCATTCTTTACCAAGCATATTTTTTGCATTACATTACATTGGTAGGTTCATAGGTTTAACAAAACACAGAAAGCATCAACAATGTATGGCCGGGTTTCTAGTATACTCGTAAAATAAAAAATATCGGCATTCCTCTTTCAGCTTTAATGCCTACAAAAAAAAATTCTCAATCGCACATAAAACATTGCACATCATTCAACTGAGAAATGTTAAAAAACATCTAAATAAAGCAACAACAGCAACAAATCGCTTATGCAAATATTTGCGAAATTCATGAATAGACTGAAATGAATGAATCTGTGGAAAGAGAAAAGCAAGAGAAAAATTACTACATATTATCGCATGACGTTAAAATAAATACTAAATTTCAAATAATAAAAAAAAAAACATTTTTTTATAATTTTTCTTAGCAATATGCATATTTGGTTGTTGTTCGAAGTAAAATAATCAAATTAATTTTCATTTCCTTTACTCAAAAGGATCTACTTGGTGAGGGAAAAAGTTTAAAAAAGTTTTTTTTTGTTAGTTGGGGAAAGAGATTTTTCAATGAAGAACCATAAGATATTATTAATATTATATTATTAAAAATAATTAATGTATAATTAACTTGGAGCATATGCTATATAAATATATATTTGGCGCTTTGTAACCGCTGAAGTGATTTTAGGCCGAGCTCCTTCCCCAGTTTGTGGTTTAGCGCCCTGATATTTTCCAACTAATGGAGGGACCTACAGTTTATACTAAGCCACCTCCGAACGGCTGATGGTTTTTTTTACGAGGAGTACTTATTTCATGCCCGAAATACATTCGCAATTAGAAAATTCACTTAATTTTTTATTTTAATAAATTTTCTAGAACGTTTTGGAGGTTGGTCGTAACATGATTTGAACTCTAGCCTTCCGTTTGTCACCGCGGCCGTGTAAACATACATACTTTGTCAAATAATAGTTTTTTTTTTAATTCGACCGTTTAATGGAATAAAAATTAAGCTGCTTTTCAGTGTACAGACAGTGTTTCCGGTGATGTGAATGTGTATGGATAAAATATTTCTTCCAGTGTCCAGGCAGTCCGCCGTTTCATGTGCTTTTCGCGGTGACTTGCTTGATCTTCTCCTCATACAATTTATAATGTATAGTCGAGAACAAGTGTACGGACTTTGTTGATTTTGAGGTTATGATGGGCCTCTTGTAACTTGAACACTTTACACGACTTTGGTGATGCCACTAATGGAATATAGTTCATTGATATGGAACCACAAATTTTCAAGTTTATTCCGATTAGTTAGAGTCGGTTCAAAAGTAATTTTTACTTTTTGCATTAAGACATTTCCGCTGGAACTCTACGATAAATATACCACCCTACACCAACCCTTGCTTGTGTTCATGCACCCAATCCACGTATGTGCACCGTTGCGAGCTGGACTTTATATGAATTTAGGTACAAGTCCAAGTCCACAATGCGTCATATGTGAACCATAATCTTCGCTAAAAGCACCGAATTGTGTGTAAACAATTTTAACCCAAAAAAAAAATCAAAAAGTGGAAGAAAGCGTCTAACCAGTAAACGAGAAGACCGAATACGCGAGTCTCTCAAGGATCGCAAAAAATCTTCAGCTGCCCATTCGGATGAATTTAGTAAGCCAGTTAATGCTCGCACAGCTAAAAGAATGCTTGTGGAAGCAGGTTTAAAAGGATGTAAAGCCCAAAAGAACCGTGGCTCTCAGAAAATAGGAAAAATAGTTTGGGATGGGCTCGCCGATAACAACATTTCAAGGAAGAAGATTGGTCGAATGTGCTGTGGTCTGATGAATCAAACTTCGAGATAAGCTTAGTTAAGATCGTCTTAAAGTATTAACAGCCATAGCGTCTTACCTTACAGCAATTTTGAAGACATAATACAAATCTTAGGAAAACGTTATTTTTTTTTTTACAGATATTTGGAACACCTGGTGTGACGTTCGTGAGGGGAAGAATGTCATCCAGATTGTGCGTCTGGAGGAGGCAGCATTAGGACCGGTGGCTGTATGGCTGCTGATGGTGTCGCTGAAATGTTCGTTTGCGAGGGTCGCATGGACAGTTAAAAGTACATAAAGAAGATGTTCTTCTGCCTTCGTTAATGGCCATTTTCGGCGACACTGACGGTGTTTAATTTCAGCAAGACAATGCTCCTTGTCAGAAATCAGCGACGACGATGCGTTGATTTAGAGATAACAACATTGTTTTGTCAGATTGGCCTGCACAGTCTCCAGATCTTAATCCCATTGAGCACATGTGGGCTATTTTAAAACGCTAGATTAAGGAACCAGCATAACAAAAAAAACTACCTTAAAGAATGACTTAATTAACGAGTGCTACGCTATAAGTGCGGACGAATGTGCAAAGCTTGTACGCAGAAGAATTGCTGCCGTTATTAAATCGAAGGGTGGGCCTACTAAATATTAATGTTTTTATCACTAATTCATTGTATTTTCACTGTTTTACTAACACAACTTCATCACTTCACTTGTTAAATCAAAAAAAAATCAGTAATTAGTGGGGTGCCTAATACTTTTGGCCAAGGCTGTATGTGATCGCATCGTCCAACACTAAACGGTCTACAGTCGCAATATAATACTAACATGACGCAGCGATCTACAGACGATCCGAACTAAATTTTTCTTCAAATATCACATTTATTTTGGACGAGCTGTGATCACTTCCCGGAAAGTGAGTATAATATATGTTAATCTAGAAACAATTCTACAAACGTATTAAATTTTGAAAAATATTTGTCTCAATAAGATCGGTATCCGATGCACCACATGAAATTTCAAGTAAAGAGAACCGTAAGTTACATTTAATCCATTTTTTTGAAGAAAAAGTGTTCCCAATCTTAATTAGGGTAAATCAAATAATAAATAAGATTTTTTCAGAATTTCTTTTTGTATTAAGTGACAGATTTTTTAGAAATGTTCAATCTCCACAGGAACACTCTCCGGGTCTCAATGAAAGTATTCTAAAAAATTTTATCAAAATCGACTCAGTTGTTTCGGAGCCTATAGGCGACATAGATATGTACAAGTATCTACGCACACCCTCTTACATATAAATATTTAAATAGATGACAAAATATGCTTTGTATTGGATTAATAAATAAATAAGGTGCTAACCACCGATAACACAATGTAAAAAAATATTATATATGTTAAACCCGACAAAAAGCCAATTTTTTTTTTTGCTAAATTTATTAAGAGCAAATATATATATTAAAATACTGAGTAGAATAGTGATAAGACAAAAGCTAAGAGTATTGTTGTCACTTGCTGACAAACTTCATGTTGTTTAAATGTTGGGAGCATTCTCGAGATGATCTGAGCTTCAAAATCGACGAACGAATCGGAGTGTGTTGATCCTCCTTTCGTTAGCCTTTTCCAAAATTTGGAGCGTGGTGAATATTTGGTCAATGTAGCAGGTCTTAAGCCACACTGATAAGGTCCAATCAATTTGTTGACCATGCGCTCTAATATTTAACATAATACGCTCGACAGCAACTTATATAAAATACTGTGGAGGCGGTAATTGGCGTAGAATGTTGCGCTACCTTTTTCTGTGGCAGAGCACACTTAGGTTCCAATCGTCAGGCATGCTTTGGTGCGAACATATTTTGTATAGTTTTTTTTTTTGGAATATCACGGCCAGCAATCATCGTCAATGCTTGGGAATCTTCATCTTCCAGTGTTCCATTTTCATTGCCATTCAGCAGGCTGAAGAAGTGGTCCTGCCGTAAAGTCAGTCATATCTCTTAAGAACCTCTTATGCAATCATGCAATATATTTTTTTATTTTATTTTCGATAATGCCTTTTATTTAGTTTTGTGTAAAAGTATAGCTCAAAACTTCAAACACTTATTAAATTTCAGGAAACGGATGTGTTAGAGCTTTCGACAAGCAAACCGCCTGAAAGTATGCATCAATTTCTTACAAACCATAATAAAAAAGGCGATTCTTTGTCGATAGCATGAATTTATATATGTATATATTTTTAACTGGCATGACAAATTCTTATATATTTATTAACTATAATTTATACGAATATTTATTTTATTATTATTATTTTTATTTTCATATATAAAAATACATAACAAATTTAAGTAATAATTTATATGAATATGTATTGGTATTACTTAAATGTATTATAAACAAATATGTATATGAATATGAGCGCAGTGGTGTTAACTGCTAATACTGACTGATTAATAGGATGACATAGGATATTTCAATGTACGTATGTAAAATGATATTAATTATATTTGGTAAATTACAATTTTTGCTTAGAATTTTACAACTATTCGAACAAATTTTTTACATTCACGATTTGCATATGCGTATAAATATTGATATTGACATATTTCTATATGTGTATGTACATGTATATAAAATTACTAACAAACACTAATTAATAAGGTACACATGGTGTAATGGGCACTCAATGGCGCTAGTAGTATAATAATAGCTAGCTAAAATTAAAGTAAAAACTAAAAAAAAAAAATATTTACAAATATTAAATTAATTAAAATAAAAAACAGATTTTTTTATTGTATATACATATATATTCGCTTTGATTATACTGCTTATGCTGCTCTTTAAAGCTAAGCTGTCCGTCCATTAGAGCTTAACAAAAGAAATCCTCTTCACATTTGTTGTAGCAACAGTATGGTATGTTGTTGTAACTGAGTGCATGCTCACGCTTGTAGCGTTCCTTCTTGTCGTGATGCTTTTTTGGCTTATAACGTGGAAATACATCGACTTTACTCAGTATTTGGAAATGCTCTTGACCCACTTTCAGATAACCACCACGTGGGAACGAACTGCGGCTGATGAAATGGCTTTTGTCGTTGTGTTTCGGATCTGCATATGTGGAATGAAAGAATTTAAAAAAAAAAATAAGAACTTAGTAAAATGTACAATATATACATACAGCCACTACAAGTATATGCATACGTATGTATCATATATATATAAGTCAATAAAGGCGTAACGATGTCAATAAATATTGAAGTTAAATATAAATACAGCGTTGCTATGGAGCCTTAATAAAATTAGCATGATGTCAAAGATGTCCAATGACGCAAATTGTTTAATAAAGAAACAAAGAACTTGTTCAACAAAGCGCGTAAGAGAAGCCGTTAAAGGCTCTTCATGTTTACCATTAAGCAAATATAGATTTATATTTATAGCAAAAAAAGAAAACAAATAAATTAAACACACGTGTAACTAAATATAATTTTTTATATTAATTCTTCTTTTTTTTTTTGATATCAGAAGACAAATACTAATTAAAAAATATACATTAAAATTAAAAGGAAAAATAATATAAAATAAAATTAAAAAAATGCATAAAAATTATCGAAAAATGTATGCTGATATAAAAGTTTCATTTGTTCTAACTTTCATATGAAAATAAATAGCGGAAAGGAAATTAAATTTTTTTTATCAACTCAAGCTGCAACATAAATATTCCAAATAATACGCACTTCCGCACTTTATATATATCTATAAAGTTTATTGAAAATTATTTTTGCAAATACATCCACGTATAGATATAAATATATGCATAAACAAGTCTATAACTTTGCAACTGACGTTTTAACGGTCTGTAAGATTGTGAAAATGAAATGCAATGCCAAAGGTGATTGACTTTGTGTGGCCTTTTTCATATCAAGTAGGCGACAGTTGGAAATACAAGCAAGTTGACATATGAATCGTAGAGACTACTAGACTTATATATATTTTATTATACTGTATTTTTTGTAAAATTGCACCTTTATAACAAATTCTTGCATTTCTTAACTTTTGTTTTATTTCTTTTTCCTTATTAATATAATTGTACTTTTATTTTTTTTTTGTATTTAATTTTTACTTTTTATTTATTTAATATTTTTATTTTTCTAATAATTTTTAATATGTCTATTTATTAATTATTTCTTATTATTTTTAGTTTTTTAACATTATTTATTTAATTATTATTTTAATGCTTCTTATATTATTTTTATTTTTTTTACTTTATTTATTTGTTTAAAATTTTTTTTTTATGATTTATTTAATTTATTACTTTTCTTTCATTAAATATTATTTTTAAGTTGTTTTTTACACTTTTTAATTTTTTATATATTTTTTTATTATATTTCTTAATTGTTTTTACCTGATTTATTTATTTGTTTTTATTTTTCATATATTTTTTTCTTTAATTCCAATTTTTCTATTTTTTACTTGGTACATTTATTCATTATTTTTATTTAATTATATATATTTTTAAAGTTATTTTCTACATTATTTATTTATCTATTATTTTTATTTTCTTTTATGAATTGTTATTTTTTTAAAAGCTTTATGCAATGTTTATTTATTCTTTTTTTATTGGACAAATCCTTTTTTTATTTTTAAATTATTTTTTACTTTCTGCATTTATTCATTATTTTTATTTAATTATATATATATGTTTAAGTTATTTTTTACATTATTTATTTATTTATTATTTTTATTTTTCTTTTATCGATTCTTAATTTTTTAAAAGCTTTTTACAATGTTAATTTATTCTTTTTTTTTGTACAAATCCTTTTTTTATTTCTAAATTATTTTTTACTTTATGTTTTTATATATTTTTTATTTACATAATATTTTTCTTTAATTCGATTTTTTTCTTTCTTTACATTTTTATTATTTTATATATATATATATATATATATATATATGTATATATTTATTTAATATTTTTATATTGTTGTTATTTTTTAATTCTTTTTTACTGTATATTTATTTATTTGTTATTAATATAAAATTTTTCTTTGCTTAGATTATTTTTTTTTACTTTTTTTACTTAATTATAATTTTTTTTTGTTTTTTTTTGTTATTTTTTTTAATTACTTTTTATTTCACTTAATTATTTGTTTAATTATTATTTTTCATTTATTTTTTACACATTTTGCCAGTTAATTTATTTATACAATCTATAGTCAATATTATCGTTCCATATACGGGCACAAGTATAAATAAATAAGTGCAAGTGCAAAAGTATAGATATGTAAATGCATATGTTGGCACAAGTGCAAATAGTTTAGCTCTGCTCGTATCATACGTGCCGTGTATTACAATGATTTTTTTTAGAATTTTGTTTTTTCAATATTTTACTTTTGTTTTTGTCATTTTCATGCGTGCAATTAACACCTCCAGCGATACAACATATTTCAAGTTGACAATAAATTAGCACGTGCCAAATTTGTACATTTGTCACAGACACACACGTATGTACATGCATTGCATTTCCTCCTACGATTATTGCGCGCTTTTTTGCGTCTCTATAGCAACTCTATACATATTTACCTGTACATATACATACATTTCTTTTCAAGAACATATTTTTTTTTTGTTTTAGTTGACATGTACATACATTTTTTTGCATTATAATTTTTGTTTACAATTTAATTTAACTTACATTCATTGTGGTGTAAATAATTGTGTTCATATGGCATGGGCAGTGAACGCTTCTCTCTACCCTCATCTTGCATGAATAAATGCTCACATGCTTCCATTGCAAACTTTTTCATTCTTTCCAGTGAGCAATAGGCATTACTTTTGGCGACGACGCCACAAAAGAAGAATGTAAGGAATAGTGTTCTCAGCTGAAAGATAAAAAGTGTGGAAAATTATTTATTTAATTAAAAAATTACTTAAATATATAACACATATATAAATAATATTATATAATTTTTTCCATTAAATATGCTCAATTCATTTTATTTACACTCTTTTGCTGAAAACATATTTGATTTATAGAAGTTACGTATACGCAAGCGCGTACCAAACAGGCACATAGATATAAAAGACTTAAGACACGAACGTTAAATGGTTGTTGAACATTTTAATGTGCCCAAAGGTGCACGAAAGTGAAGTCGTGTTAAAGTCTAAAACATTTCTATTTAAAAAAAAAATTTCCTATTAAAAAAAAACATTTTGATTTGTAAATTCTTTGGGCTAGCCATTTACTTTCAGTTAAAGTAATTTTCTTCTAACGAATTGAGGTTTAATATAACATATGTATTTAGTGTTAACAAAATTATACTATTTTAGCGTTAATATACCATAATTGAATTATAAATTTAATTTGGTAAAAAAACTAAAAAATTAAACTTTATTTTAATAATTATATTAATAAATAATTAGAAATTAAATATATAAAAATAAGTAACAAAAATCAATAATTACATTCTCATGGTTAGAAAACGGCTAGTAATTTTTTTAAATTATTTTTTGTCTCTTTTTTGCCCTACAGTTATATTGACATTTAATTGACGATTAATGGAAAATAATAAATACGTATCGTAAATATCTAACACCACTCCATTTGTGCGAATTTAAAATAGTTTTTGTTTTAAATAACATGCTAATCACCGATAACCTTTAAATAATGATAGTGAGCTATCTTGAGCTGTTATAACAATTTTTCTTAGCCATCAAACTTAAGCTTTTCATATAGATAAATGTATACAAACTCATCCCCACAACAACAATAGAGCAAATCATTTCTTTTTTGTTTTTGTTTAACGAATTTCTACAATTTTTAAAATTATTCCCATTAAGTTGGTATGGATTTTTAAAGTGAAGTAAGGAAAATTTCTTTATAATTAAAATAATCGTATTTGGACTAAACATCCATAGCTCATTGCGTTGAAACTGCATTACCGACCGGCAATGTGAGAAAAGCGTAATTTTACGTCGGACTGTGCATTAAACGCTTGTAGTACAAACAATAGGCGCATTGACATGATACTTAAAAAATATACATAATATATATATATATATATACATTATAAGAAAAATATATATGAAAATATATATGGATTGTTAATGCAACTTTTTGGTGTAAGTATTGCACAAAACATGAAAAAAGTCGAACTTAAAAACAAGCCAAAAATATTATTTCAGTAATTCAAATAGCTTTATACTTTTTTATTTCTTAGAAAAAATCTAGAAATATAATGTAAGCACATTTTTAACATTTTTGTCAATTTTTTTAATATATTTATACGATTTATTTAAGCAATTATTACTTTTAATTTATTTTACGTCTTTTCTTTTACAATTTCAACTCTTATTTTAAAAATGTTGCAAAAAATGCTAAAAATAAAGTAAAGAAATAACACACACATAAGTCAAAAAATAAATAACCTCAATAGCAGCAACGCCAGCTCTGACTATGCGCCATTGAAACTTTCGCACAGTCATCATTGACTTACCAAACCAATTTCACTTGTTTTGAAATTCAAATCTGCACCTGCTTAGATGTCATATGACGTCACTCAACGATGTAAGTAAATCAAATTCAGCTATGGTGGTGTGAAAGCAAAGAAGACACTATTTTTATCATTGCCTTGACCCCATTTAGATGAATCAGTTATTAACGTTTTTTGAGTTTTAAAATAAAAAATTAAAAAATAAATTAAAAATTAGCGCTTCGACCTAATTCTTGGTTATAAATGCTGTAATTTTTGGTTTTTAATTTTTTCTCCTCTTTCTTCTTCTTTTGTGATCAGCAAGTGAGCATAGCAATATTACAAAACTGACAAGGTTGCATACATGCATATTCTTTACAATACATTTATGTATTTGTGATTGTGTGTGCATGTGTTTTAAGTTGCCGGCATTAAATAAAGATGCGGAAGCATTTGCCGATTTATTATATATAAAGTGTATGAAAGAAGTGTTAAGCTAAAATGCAAAATATGTTGAATTGCATGCACACAGAGAGAGAGAGAGAGAGCGGAAAATGTTCTTTTTGTTATCATTGTTGTTGGTTAGAGTAGAGTTTAAGCCGAAATAAAGCGGTATTTTTAACTGCAACACGTTGTTACATGTTAATATGTATGTTTGCATGTAAATACAAGTAAAGCAGGTGGAAGCAAAATGGAAAGTCCCACCTTCGAAACAAACAAACAAGACGGCAAGCATATTTAGAGAAAAAAATATTTTCAAATCTTAAATAATTTACTAATTTCAAAATTTATTTTTATTTACTTTTATTTTAATTTTTTTTTTTTTTGAAAATTGACCAGCCCATTTTTTATAAATCACTTAATTATAACACTTATTTATAACACTTACCGCTATATGCATTTTGTATTTTTTGTTTGTTTTTGTTTTCCTTTTGTTTTTAAATTTTAGAATTAGTTCTTGTGACCTCAATTCACTGTGGCACTTTAAATATATGTGAGTCAAATGTGCACTTAAAGTATTTTTGATTATTTTTTTTTGTGTTTTATAATAAATATGTATATTTTTTTTTTCAAATGTCACTTAATATATTATTTTTATTTTTTCTCTTTATTTTCCATTTGAAGAAATTTCGTAAATTTTTTCCAAAATTTCACTTTTTCGCGCGCCACTTTTATAAACCGTAATCCAATAAGTCAGCGATTGATATGTCACCTTGTGCTTTGTGTTCTTTCGAATTAGCTGTGCCTTAAAATTCGCCGCGTTCAACGATATGTTTCATAATTAAAATATCGAGTGCAAATGAAAGCGTTAATTTCAATTGGTTCATTTATATATTCGCGTCGAGTTGATGCGAGACACATAATGAAAGAAAGGATCACCAGCAGCACACACACATGCATACATGAAAAAATACACACGGTCAACACAACGCAAGCGCACAGCATACCATTCAGTCTTTCAACGCTTAAGAGTTGGCGGGAGAGCGCATTTAGCGCTGTTATTGGCGCTCAAATGAAGAGCGTATAATAATAACGCTCTAATTGAGCAATTAATTGGAACAAACTAACGTGTGTTCGCCTGCTGGTATATGAATTTCACATTATTAACTAATGTTACTTGACAATAACAAATTAAAAAAAAAAAATTTATAAAAAAACAACAACAACAAACACAAGCATTTTGCTCATTGTTTGATTGATTGAGCGCCTAACACAGCGCTTAAGTGACGCGCGTTAATAACACTCACGTTCGACCGTTTACACCGAATTAAAAAAAAACGAAAAAAAAATGAATAAAAATAAAACAATTTGTGTTGTAGTAGGAAACTACATATTTGACAATTCATAAATCAGACAATGTAGCGTCAATTCCGTTTAGTGTTTTGTTTTTTTTTCGCTTTTTTTATTATTGATTTGCATGTTTGCAGATAAGCCGGCGGTATTTTGTTAAATGATTTTACTTTTCTGTTGTTGTTTGTATGTTATTGCATTTTTTCGTTTTTTTTTTGCTTTTTCAGAGCACAATCGCACGCATAGTAAATTCTGAAACTTTGCCAACTGGTTGTGTGCGTTATGTTCATAGCAACAATTCAAGTTTATAACCGCTAGTCAGCCAGCTTACTTATTATACACTGCACGTTGCGGGTTTTTTTAATAATAAAATATATATTTGTTTTTCTTTTTTTTTTAGCAGTAAAAGATGAATAATTATTTTTCCAAGAATTCTACTTTCTACAATTTTTTGTAGTAAATTTCGGTATATGCTTGTCAGTCCCAGTTCCACTTACTACTTTTTGGTATAAACCTTTCCAGGCACGATAGAAACAATTTGACAAAATTTCAAGTCAATCGGTTGGTAACTTTTTCAGATATACAGCTCTTCCTCCTCGAACGTCATGGCTTGTCCTGCTGAGAGGTGCCTGCAATTAGAAAACTATTTTTTTTTATGACTTCGGATGTTGGTTGAACGTTGATCTTGCGAATTGTGGTACGCGCTGCTCACCTGCGGATGACTTGGATTGAATTACCTCAGCAAACTGCCAGCAAATCCACGTATATGTACATGTTGTTGTTGTTGTTGTAACCGCAAAAATATTCCCCATAGTACTTTGAATGTTGCGCGAGTGACAGTCCTTGGCCGGATAAAAATCCGGGTCGTTCCGGTATAAAGACCCGACTGTCGCGGAAACTATTGGATTTTAGATGCCTCTTACGACAGGCATGCCTTACCGCGGGTAAATTCTTGAACCCCTAACCCGCAGGGGGGTCCGATATGCTTTACGTGAGTACCTGCCGACTTCGGCCTAACCTCACGGTGCTCAAGAACACAATAACCACCTTGGTAGGGCTCGAGGCCTATCTAAAACCTCTGCCGTACTATGGGTCTGGCACCCGGTTGCAATGCAACTTCACATTTAGCTGACACAAGGTCAACCCTTCCCGCATTTGGGTTTAAGCCACAGCCACCACGATACTCCCCGAGGGGGTCTATCCACTTGAACAGACCGGAGCAAGCTCCGAGCGCTCTGGTTCGTGGTACCAGATTTATGTCTCCAGTCGAAAATCCTAGCCGAAGCCGAAAACATAGAAAGGCCGATGAAATAGTTTTTATTTTTACCGCCGGTGCGAGCTTCACTGCCCACTGTCTCAGACCTTTCAACGCCAACAAATTTTTTCCAAGCAAAAAAGTACTTAGTATTCTTGTGTGGGTATCAGCAGGGCAACTAGCCATGAGATTAATCATCTCCACAAGCTATATAAACTTAAATCGGCTGAGTGCTGAGCATGCATAAAAGATGTCAAACACTGATGTAGATGTCGGCGAGTTGAGGCATAATATCTTCCACAGTACATCAAAGGAAATTTTTTTAATGTTTTAGGCATACCAGCTGGAGGTGTGGTCCTCAAGTCATTCCACTTCAAACAAGCAAACGGTGAATGACTCACTGAAACTTTTGGGGTAGATAGAAGAAAACTCTTTTTCGGACCAAAAGGGTTAAATCTACTCATAAAAAGGTAGTAGAATTAGGAATGAAATTTATCCATATAACTTTACATATATAAAATAGTAGCATTCTGAACAAAAAGGGTCCGCATAAAAAAACCATCAGCCGTTCGGAGGCAGCTTAGTATGAAGTGTAGGTCTCTCCATTTGTCGGAAAAACATCAAAACGCAAAACCACAAAATGGAGGAAGAGCTCGGCCGAAAATCGCTTCAGCGGTTACAAAGCGCAAGTTATATATTAATTCTGAGAGATCCTCCTTTGGCAGCACCTGCTCTCTTTCATGTGCAGAAGAAGGCTCGCAAGCCATTACACCTGCCGCAGAGTGACATAAATGTAAATTTACTTTTCCACGCATGGCGTTTTTGTGTTCTTGCGAAAACTGAAAGAAGTTCAATACTGTTTGAGCTAAGCGGAAGGTATTACACTCAACTGAATCCACAATAGATTTTGTTTATTGTATTCAAAATTATTATTTTTTTTTTTTGATTATCTTGTGTTAATGTGTAGACATACAATTTCCTATAAACATTAGGGAAGTGACGATTTACTTGTAATCCGCACGGTAATTCGCAATAACACCGTAATTATTTCGCTTTCAATATTTTCTTTGCGTTCACCTACGTAATTGAGTGTTAAATTGAGAAATGAATTACCCAAGATTTGTGGTCGATCGTGTCAGCGCTCACTGCATTTGAGGGCTTGGCCGTTATTCGCACTGAGAGTTTGTATAAAAATACAACATAACATATTTATATATGTACTTATTTGTGTCAAAAGTTATGACATCAGAGCCCATAAAGCCCACAAAGCGGTACAGAGAATGTTCTTCACATCACTCAACCACACGCCACTTGTCACTACAACCCATTCAGCTGGACTTTTGTGGCCTCCACAAACCAGTACATTTCTTTATCCAGACACTTGCCATCAAAAGTTCAGTGAACTAATTCGAATACCCACACATGCATACATATATTAATATGGACATCTATATTTATAAGTTCGGGCTAATTGCACTTAATAATCATAAGATAATAAAGTATGTTTTTTAATTAAGTGTACGAAGTTCTTTCTTTGTCGGAAGATTTAAAGAACTGAACAAGTTTTTTTCTTTTTTCTTTTCTTTTTTTTTGTGTAATCTATGCCAATTTTGGAATGCAAAAATTCTATACGATCTATATACATTGTGCATAAAAGCTTGTCAAATTTCTTTAAGCATTCCAGTTTGCCGCAAATTCCGGTCACTGCAAGCAAAAAATACTGCTAATGAATCGCAAGCCAATGGAATCACCTGATCGATGGGAGAGAATAAATTATTATATCATAAATATTTAGAATCGTCTATATATGTACAGATGTATGTTTGGCGAATTATATTCATACAGCCAAACAGTTTTTTTTTGCATTTTCTTTACAATATCGAATTATCAGCAGAGTCAGCAATTAACGTATCTCAGTTAACTCCATAGCAAGTGACCGATATGATACTAAATTAGTCCTGAATAATAGTAAGAGCAATTCACTTGTAATTACTTTGCTGATATCGCTGATGCTGATGAATTGGTATTGAGTTACAAAGAATAACAAAACTTGATGTTCACTTCCAGGATGATTTGAGCTGAATACGTATTATTTATAAATTACACTTGTAGCCGCTGTAGGGGTTTTCTGCTGAGCTCCTCCTCCAAGATAAGCATCTTGATGTTTTTCCAACATATGAAAGGAGCTCCAAACGGCTGATGGTCTTTTTTTTTGAGGAGCTTTATTTCATGTCAGCAATAAATACGGAGGGGTTGAGATTCTCTGCCGAAGGGCGACCGCAATTTAATTTAACCTAATTTTTTTATTTAAATTATTATTCTATAACTTTTGGATGTTCTTCGTATCAGGTAGCAGTACGCAATGTTAACCTCTCGCTTGACCTCTTAGACAAATCAAAGCGGAAAGCAGCTCCTTGATTCCGGAACTTAGCTCTGCATAAGACATGTTAACTGTGTAAGAGATGAGAGACCATTACATCCTTCTTATTATTCTTGCTACTTTTAAAATTTCTCCCAAAGAAACCAATTCGAACACTAGTCGCCCTACCAAACAGAAAGAGATGTCCCCTCTTTTGAGAGAGTGCATTTGGCGAGTTGAGGGTGAAAAATAGCTTTGGGCTTAAGAACATCGGATTGTGTGCCACTACTCGACGACGGAATCCCTCGTCGACCATGATGATGTACATTCTTTCACCTTTGCACCCTCCACTGCACTTCTTGCTACGCATTATTGGTCTATTTACAGCTGGCAGCAGCTTTAGCAAAGGCTAAACGGGAAATTAAAGGTCATTGCTTGCTTAAACTCTTGGATAGAGCGATATTGTGGCGGCTCTTTTCTCAAATCAATTTCTCTTCAGACATCAATGCTAACCATGAATTGATACCTAATGGGCAGTGGTTTGTACTAAAGAGTTATATATTTTCCATTGTAGTACGCTGTATCAGCTTAGAAGTGGCAAGTAATTTTTCTTGTGAGTTATTGGCCAAGAAAGAGGCTTAACTCATGCATACGTAT